CTAAACCTTGGCCCCTACTCCTGCACACCTAAGAGGAACAGAGGCCATGGGTCTCATGGCCTGCCTTTTCATGTGCCTCCCCTTGGATTTCCTGTAGACAAGGGACCCACTGGGTCTCCTCCCAACGTCTTCCCCATGAGCCCAGGTCCCTGGGCGGCCTAGAGTTATGGCCTGCAGCATCTGAGTGTGTTTAATGCCCAGATGTGAAAGCAGGTTGTGACCAGATGTGGAGGCAGTGGGTCCACCTGAGATGTCAGGAGACACACTGAGGCACTGGGATTCAGGTGGCTTAACCTGCTCTGAATGAGAACACCAGGTGGGGTCATCTAGCAGATGGTGGGACATGGTGGAGAGAGATGATGCTCTGGGGAGCATGAGCTATGTCTCCACTGTCTTCGCTTGCATTTAGGCCCAGCTTGTAGAGCTGAGTGGCTTGGGTCAGTAGAGCCCATGCTACCTAGGGGCAGGACGTGTCACCTAATGACTCCTGTGCTGAATTTCCTTGCATCCCTTGGCTGGGGGCCAAGTTGCAAGTTGCTGGGGAGGCAGTGAAGATGTTTGGTGTGAGTGAGATAAGCAGAGGCAGTGTCTGCTCACACATGTGAGTAAGCGCTCATCCTTGGATGGGCTAAGAACTCTGCATCCAAGGCTTTAGCATGCGCCCAGGAAGTGAGGCTGGGCCAGGTCAACAGGAGCCTTCCTCTTCCTTTCCCATTCCCACAGCAAACTGCTGAGAAATCATCCCCAGCGGCTTTTAAAAAGGAGAGAAAGCAGATCTGTGAAACGTTTTTGAAAATATTGAACCTTCATGAACCATAACCTGCAGTTTCTGTGCAGTTTCAAAGTTTCTGTGGCTTTAATGGGTGTGGAAATGCATTCTTTGCCAATGTCTTCAGGTGCCGCTCAGAAGCAGTGGGCCAACCTGTTGCAGGATGCCCTTTTACCTGCATTTTTAGGAAAAATTAAACAGCTATGTTTTTGCAAAAGCTCTTGACAAAAGACCATCCTCCCGCCTGTCCAAACCAGACTGAGTTGGAACTCATAGAACTTGGGACTACATAGAACTTGGCTAAATTCTCCAGGGTTTCCGTGTGGGCTTGGCTCGCCTCAGTCTCGTTGGAAATTGGCACTGCCGGAAGGGAAAAGGCACCGGAGCAGGTCTCCCAGCAGGAGAGCCCTGGCTCAGCCCCCCACAGGCAGCTGGGTCCCAAGCGCAATAGCATTTCTGGAAGAGGCCCTCCATTTTTTTATAATACAGAGCCTAAACTCTTCAATTTTGTATCCCTCAAAGGAAACCAACCATCAGTCAACTGGCAGCAGTCTAATAACCTCCTGAGACTCCTTAACGGTAGGCTTTTTTGAGGGGGAAACTTGGCTGAAATAACCTTGACTATGTCAGTAGCTTTTCCTTAGGCTGCCACTGGGCTTTGCTGCTCAGGGCCCAGCCCAGTCGCAGCAGTTGCCCCGCTGCTACTTTTAACAGCACCCAAAGCGCTTTTCCTCCTTGCAATGCCTCTAAACACCAGCAAAGGTCCGTGCCCTATCCCACAACGAGCATGGCTCCAACACCAGCATGTGTGGGGGGACCCATTTACGTGTGGAGGTCTCGTCCCCACCTTGATGAGTCTTGTGCACTTTGCAGGCCTCCCCGCTGTAGTTGCCAGGAGTTGTCTCCCCCAGGAACTCCACTAAGAGACCAGGGACTTGGTAATTTGCTAAGGATAGTCAGGGCCGGCAGCACTGTCCTTGCAGGAACATGGCTTAATGAAACAACCAAAAAAACCCCAACAGTTTTTCACCCTTGTAATGGGTCCTTCTTACCTGGAGAGCAGGCCTGCTGTCATCATCAGCACGGAAACTTGCTGCATTTCTGGTGGCAACAAGGTCCCTTTGGTGACTGCTGCCTGGCTCGGGCTGTGTCAGCAATCACTGCAGCAGCTGCTGGGCGCAGGCTGGCGAGGCCGCGATCCTCGGCACGCGCTCGCTTTGGATGTGATGCCTTTTATTAAACATCTTCCAAAGCTCGCAAGTGTCCCCAGGACATAACTCTGCAGCGCAGAGCAGCGTGCTGCCAAGTAATGAAGTATGATTTATGGTGGTAACGGTTATCCTATGTTTTTTTAAAAAATTATTACAGCAATAGCTCTGTCGAATATAGGAATATAACATGCTGCATTTGGCACGTTTATGACAACAGTGCTCTGGTTTTCTTAACTCCACAGTTCTGCGTTGGCAGTATTTCAAATTCTTGAGACAGATGTTTAAGTGAATTTTAAGAGGACAGTGAAATACTTTTAAAACATCATATACAGCGCTGAGTGTCTCAATATGAAAAGGAACATTATTCCCCTAACATTCAGGTAGGGAAGGAGAGCACATGGCCGTTCTGGTTTAGATCTCACGGTGAATGATGGAACGAGCAAATGTGGAACGAGCTTTCTGAGGCATCCCAGCTTTTCGGCTGAGGTTGTGGCAGGGGGGAAGGCCTCTCGACCTTTCCCTAGTTTTAGTTCATGCTCACATCTCATTTGCGAGCGGTGAAAACAGATCCACATTTGTTTTGAATGCAGTTCCCACCATGTTGATACAGGACTAAGTGGTCTCCTGCTGACATTTTGATTGTGTCATTGTGGTCCCAGTGGTTACAGTTTCAGGCCAGAAATGACAATCATTTGGAAAAATGTAAACTAGAGCCCTGGTTACATCTCTAGAGCGGTAAGAGCATTTGATGGAGCATTTCCATCAAAACTCTGACTATGCTAAAAAGACCGTGTGTATATATGTATATGTATATACATTTTTTTAAGGTTTGACTAGAAACGGAGTCAGCTTTACTGAACAAAATGGGGTGCCTAGCTCTGGCACAGCTGCTCATAACTCTAAACCATGGCAAGCTGGGGACATCATCACCGACACTGAAGATGTTGAAGGGATATTGAAGACAAGTGAAGCATTAAGTAAAGCAAAGAACACTTATATTTAATTTACATTTGACAATTTGCACATAAATAATGATGTAAACCAATACGTAAACATATGATAGTTTGTTCTAGCAAAGTAAAAAGCCTGTTAACTTTGGTCAGTCTTTCTTAAGAGAGACAAAAAAAAAAAAAACAAAAACCCCAAAACACTGTTGATTGTTGCTACATTCACATGGAAAACTTCTAAGGGAAGGGGGTAAACAGTAAAGAGAAGTAACAATTCTTAAAGCTGATGCATATAAATTCTTGTAAAATTTGTATCAAATACAAGAAAGCACTACAGGCAAATAATACGAAAAGTGTGTGTCCAGTGACAGAGTAGTGATACTTTGGTTTATCCTACAGGTAAGTACTATACTTATGATCTATTGCTACATTTAAAAGATGTCAGCCTCACAATTTGCAGGAGTGGAAATGTAATGAACGGTAGTCCTTCAAAAGCTGTGTTGAGAGACTTTCTTAGGTTTCAGGATTGCTTTTAACAGAAGGCATTGGAATGGAGTTTACAGAAGAAAAAAAAAAAACACCAAATCCTGGACTGATCTGGATTGATGAAGTGGGCTATTCTTAACGTTATATTTTATAGGAGTACAAACAGGAAAAAAAAAGATATACATGGAGGGAAGGTGTGTAATAATGCTACTTATATTTACGTGAGTTGACCATGCAACTCTTTTTAATGGCAGGGTAAAAACGAGACTATGGGCTCACCCCAACTAACTTCACCTCTACCCTTCACTGTGTATTATACTTACACCACGCATGGGCAATATTTGGCTTCTTCTTTTCAAGTTCTTTCAGTTAAGTTTCCTGGCTGCTCGTTCGCTAGCCCCCCTCCTCCTTCCCCCCCACAGGATATGTTGCCAGGAGAGGGGGGAGCGAATCCCCCGCTCCTGCAAACTCCGTAAAATTCCCACTCACTTCTCTGAAACTCCACACGCACGTGGGGTCACTCACGTAAGGTGTTTGCAAGCTCAGGCTTCCCGCGGACAACGGGGCCACGTGCACTCGCAGGTGACAAACGCCTTAGCACAACCTTCTGGTTTTGAGGTCATTGGTAATATGCAAAACTGGATAACATCTGATTTTCACACTTAGATGAAAAATAGGTTTTATTACATGGTTTGGCTCACAACTTAAGTGGTATAAATATATATACATATACATATATAGTATAGTGGTATAAATATATCTATAAATATACATGTATTCTTTGCTACACCTCAAATGTCACCATATCATCTTTGGGCTTAGCAAAACAAAAAGATAAAAGGATGTGCATTCTATCTTTCCCTGTGCACATTTTGGTTTCTTCTCTAAAGTAGCAAAGCATTTAGATAAAACAGCATTGTCTGCACCACTGGACACAAGCACTGAGGTAATTGTTGTTCAACAACTTTGCAATGCCCTTTTCATCTTTAATTAAATTAACCACAAAATGTACAAACACAAATACTGAGAAAAATCTGAGCTGTAGAGGAAGGAAGAAAAAAAATGTATGTGCCAGAAAAGGACTTTGTTCCCCACTTCTATACAGGTGAAGCAGGAGAGGAAAATGCAAATAAAAACAAGCCTCCTATTTCTCAGGGAATTTGACCATCCTCTTTATCCCTGGAAGGCTCTGGAAAAGGGGGAAAAAAGAAAAGGGGGGAAGGAAAATGTCTGCCAAAAAACTTATTTTTAGAGAATGTTAAGAATATTTGTGTGTTTGTTTTTAGATTGCTTTTGGAAATAAAAGAATGTAGGTGATATTTTATTTTGGAAGAGCCACTTCAAGCTGATGAATTCCTTTGGTCATAAAGTTACATGACAACATGTGGGGCGATAGCTGTTTTCTAAAAACCTAACGTATGGTCCATGGCAAGTAGGTGTTTGCAGTGCCACATCTGTTCTGGGTAGAGCTTCAGGTAGAAGAATCTCCTATCCCTAGGGAGCCAGGGGTAGAAGTTTCTTCTCTGCTTGCTGCTACTCCTCCCTTTTTTGTAGTAGTTGTTGTTGTAATTCCCAATGGGGTGATTTGCATATAAGAGTACACAGCATTTCTTCAAACCAACTGATCTAGGATTCTGTATGTCAAATGTCCAACTTTGGCAATACAAAAACCCACATTTGTTTAAAAGACATTGGTACATACAATGCATTTACCGAAACCCCAATCTTAGGTTTTTAAAACAGATGTGCAGAAAAAGTATCTACAAAGAATGGCCATAAAACAAAAAAAATAAAAACATTTAAAGTAAAAATTACAATGAATTTTCCAGTCATTGTAAACATTTCTCTAATTATTGCTTTTAGAATGATAAATTGCATAATAAATTATGAAGTACTATCATTGAAAAAATAATTATGGATAGATGATTGTCTTTTAGTAACTGGCGAGGCAACATGCAGTCCTTTGCCTCTTTTTATGCCCTGAGAAAACAGTAACTTTGGAGTTCCTTCTTTCAGTTGGAGAGCGTAGGGAAACTACTGTAAGCCAAGATTGCTTTGCAGCATTGAAACTATGTACAAGCAACTGCTACAGGCACCCTGACTTGCCAAGTCATAAATAAAAAAAAAAATTACTTTGCCAAAAAGTCTTAAGGGTCCATTGGTTCAACTGTTTCTTGCTTGACCTTTACAGGTAACAGAGGTAGTGGGTGACCGTGAGGCAACTTCATAATCGACATATCTGAAGACTCGTAAAGGTTGCATCCTGAGGAGATAAGTCCATTTCCCAGGTTCCTCTGCAAAGATACTTTCAGATTAGCTCCTTCCATTTCCCTTCTGAGTATGGTCAGTATATCCTTCTCCACGATGGACGTCAGGTCGATATTGTCCTCCATTTCTTCCAGCTTGTCGGCATTGTCACTGATGTCAAACTTTTCTATCTCTTCGTTGATTCGATTCAGGTCCTCCATAGAGAGGCTGGAGGCAGGCGCTACGGGGCAGTTGCCCTTCAGATGGACCTGGAGGCTGCAGAGGTGAATGTAGCTCTTGTGGCAGTGGATGCATTTATGCGGCCGTTCCCGGGTGTGGAGACGCTTGTGCAGCTTGAGGTGCACAAACTGGGTGAATTTGGCTGGGCACAGCTTGCACTGGTAAGGCTTTTCTCCGGAGTGGAGCCGCAGGTGGGTTTTGAGATTGCTAAAAAAATGTGACAAACCTAGTGTGGGGGATGGCAGAGAAACATGGAGTGAGTGGGAGGGGATTTTGTGTGTTAATTCACAGACACCCAGCAGGAGCCAGCACCAAGGAGCTGCAGCTTTTTATACCTTTACACTTTCTCGCAAGGGGAGAAAACATCCCCACCTCTTTTATCCCAATGT